CCTGGCCCGGTCCCCTGGGCTGCGGGAGGCAGAGCGCAGGTGTGCCCAGATGTGCTCAGGTGTGCCCAGATGTTCTGCCGGAGCGGTGCCCAGTGCCAGCGATGTACCCGCTATAGGGCAGTGGGGCTGGGAGACTGCAGGGTTTGATTCCCACCCAGCCATGGGACACCCAGCTCCTACGTGTTGCCCTGGGATGGATTTTTTCTTCTGTGAAAAAATTATTTTGTGCTTTTGCTGGTGTACGGGGTGCTGATGTCAGGAAAGAGGATGTTCAGGTTCGGAAACCACAGGGCAGATCATGTGGGCGGCTCTGGAGAAGTAGTCATGCATGGAAAAAGGGAATTTAATGCATCTTGGCAACTTCCACTTCGGGGCATTTCCGCAGTGCCTGGGTATGCCCTTGGGTATGCTGGTTCTGATACTGCCCTGTCCGGTTAGAACCAGCCCGTGGAGAAAGTGAGACGACAGCAGACCAGTATTGTGGACGTAGAGGTCACATAAAACTGGAATTCTTTCAGAGTAAGCACACTGCTACTCTTCTGTTGAAAATGGTGGAGCTGGGCTCTGCTGTTTCCCAAAACATTCTGTTCCCAGATGTGACCCACCCAGGTGATTTTAGGAGTTATATCTGGGATCTAGCTGCAGTGACAGGACAATCACACCCCAAAGTGTGTTCACTGCTTTGCATCATCACAGTGATTTGTATTTCATATTTTTTGAAAAGCTAAGAGACACATTGGATGTGATGGAGAAAGTCACTAAATTGGATCTACATCCTAAATAATTGGGTTATTCAGCTTGTAATTAACTGGGCTTTGTGTGCTGGTCTTAAAGAGCTGCTGTTATTTCCTGGTCTAGTGGGGCTGAGGCTGTGGATCTCTTCCTTCACCTCAAGTAGGAAACCTGATTTTTGTCAACTATGCTTGTAAGAATGTAGAGGAGTTAATGCAATTGCCATGCTCCTGCTCAGTGGTTCCAATAGGGATGCGCTTATATTTCCCAAAAATCCACCAAGATTGCAACTAATGGAAAACAATCAAAGGTTTTTACAACTTATTTTTAAATGGGTAATTTTTTTTTTATTTCCCAAAGCTGAAGAAATTATATACCCTTCATTTCAGTTTTAGGCATGGAGAAAATTAAGCTTCTGTTGTGATTACAAGCTTCTTTCCAAGCTGATGAATGTCCCTTGCCAGAAGTAGTTACCATGTCTGCTTGGGATCTGCTCACCATTTCACTGGAATATGGTGCACCAAGTTGAAAAGCTGTAATTCACATACCTTGAAAAATGCTGATAGTTTGAAAAATATTGGTACCTGCCACCTTTTTGGAAAGCATGTGTTTGTAGGATTGATTTTTAAATGCAAGAACATCATCAGTGCTATTGTTCATAGTGCCACCTCTATGTATACCTACAAGGCCAAACTTTTATTAATGAGCTCAAATGCAACATTACACAATTCTCCAAAGAATTAAAGGCTGCAACACTCTGAACAGCTCCAAAGTTATAAGGTTATAAGAAAAGGAGGATAATTATTTTTTTTATAGTGAAACTTCTTAGCTATTAATAATGCAAATTACTTCAATGTTTAAATATTCACAGTTCTTTTAAAGCTGCTGGAAATGGCAGTGCCTGGACCTGGCAAAGGGGCAGCTGAGAAGGGCAGAGCTGGTCTGGGGGATTTCAGCACAGCCTGACCCTCCTAGGGTGCCCAGAGCACATCCTCATCCTCCCTTCTCTCCCCACATCCTTCAGCTCAGCCCAGCGTTCCAGGCACTGTGAGTATCACGCTGGGCTCAGAGTGGAGAGGAGCCAGCCCCAGCCCATGAGGTTGGGCTTGTCCCACCCACACAGGCACCGGTCCCTGTCCCTCACAAACATCAGCCCACAGGTCACAGCTCCACCTCTGCCTCTCAGCTGTGCCTTCAGAAAGGAACATGCCACTGGCTCCATCTGGGGGAGGTCCCTGCAGCCCCCCAGGGGTCCTGAATAACCTCTGCAGTTTATGTTGTCTCTTTTTTCAGTTTGGGTTTTTGTTGTTCTTCAGGACTGTGTGAATATTGCTTGGAGCAATCCAAAAGCAAGAGTTGCAGAAGCACAGCACTCTTCAGCTGGGTAACAGAGCTAACACACACCACTGTGAAATGCCATTGCACTGAGGCACACTGCTGCACTTGAAACAATGCTGTGAATAAGAAACTGTACCTAGTGAACCAACTGCCAGGATTGTCTGCAGTGAGTCTAGGCTTAATCTGAAGTACCCAAAGCCTTAATAGAGCATGGAAATCCTGTGGCTGAACTGAGTGCCCAACACTTACCTTCCTGTGGAAATGATGGTGCCACTACCAGCACCTTTGGGCTCATCCCCTGCTCCTGCCACAGCCAGGATGGCTGCACTGCTGTGCCAGCCTGACTCCAGCCGGGCCTGAGTGAAGCACATCCCAGCTTGGAAGCCTTACCCAGTTCACAGAAAACAAACCCTACAACATGCTGACAAAGTGCCTGTACTATCAGGAAAGGGGATTCCAAAGGCAGCTGAAAAGGCTGACTTGTCTTTGGGATTTATCTGGTACTGTTGCAGTCAGCGCTCAGCCTGTGGCTGGCTGTTTGTGTGTGAGATATGAGATGTGCCCACAGTGGGTTTGTACTGCCCAGGTACCTTGCCTTAGATCTTGTTACCAGTGTTCCAGCTTCCCATTGGCCTAGTTTGATCAGGGAACAGAGCACATGCAGGATTCAGTTGCATTTTAGTTCACCCAGCCAGGGGCAAATAAGGCACAGCCAGAATGCTGTGGGCATGTTTTGCCAGAGCCCTCGCTGCCTGCTCTGACTGCAGTGACTTTGTACTTGCATTGTTGAGTCTCTCATTTCCCTTGCTTTTAGAATATGCAGCAATAAACTCCATGCTGGACCAGATCAACTCCTGCTTGGATCACCTGGAGGAGAAGAACGATCACCTCCACATCTGCTTGAAGGAACTGCTGGAGTCCAACCGCCAGACCCGGCTGGAGTTCCAGCAGCAGAGCAAGCAGCTGAACACAGGAGCTGATGTGCAGGGATCCCAGCCTCCTGCCTAGAGTCTGACCACACACACAGCTGGTGTTGCTAAAGGACAGTTACTGGTCACCAATTTAATGTAAAACTTGAATAGCAGAGGTGCCTCGTTTCTGTTACTTGTTCCTTTCTGTGTTGTATCCTGCCATTCATCTCCATGTTCTGTTTTCCTTTAGCTGTGAGACAGGTGCAGAAGCACAAAGGTGGCTGTAGGAGAGCTGGTTCTTTCTGCTCCCCAACATGAGCCTGACACTCACGCTTGGTTAGAGCTGATTGTAGGAAACCTGAGCCCATGCAGGTAGTTTGCAGGCAGGCCCTCTTCACAAAGTGGAAAAAATTATCCCTGCTCTCTTTTTCTTAAATCCAACAAGGAGTATTATGGCTTTACCCCCTTTGGCAGGGGCTGTCCTGACTCCAGGCTTGTCCCTAAGTGTAATGACACTGGAGAAGATGATTGAGCCCTGAGGAGGGCTTAGGGTAGCTGCTGCCTTGAAGCTACAGCTTCTTCTCCCTTAGTCACATTAACTGTGATGTATGAAATACTGGCATGTGGTTCCAGATCACTGGACACTTCCACTCCATTCCAAGCAGATAAGACAAGCTACCAGGGTGATGCTTCTGACCATTGTAACTGGAAGCTGCCCCACTCCTTCAGCTGCCATTAAGGACCAAGGTGTGGAGAGAGGCAGAGCAGCCTGGTGAGCCCCCACCACAGCATCAGCAACACAGAGCAGAGCCCTCCCTGCACATTCTGACAAGGCACGAGAGGTTTGCTCTGTACTTTGTGATCCTGTCAGTATGTCCTAGAGCCAGCACTTGTGAAGCAAGTCTTACTGTTCTACTTATGTAGTGTTAAAGGAGTTTTTTGGAAAGTTAAAAGAGGTTATTTAAAAGAAATCCGTTTTATTAAAATCAGTTTGAAACAAACTTTGTTCCTGAGAGTCTCCACTATGAGAACAGATTGGATTAAGCCTTGTGGTATTAACAAAGGACCAAGGTGCATGTTTTTGCCTAGCTTAGGACTTGTCCAAGACTGCTTGTCCAACAGTGTGTATCTTAGAAAGGAAAGTGTTCTGAGAAGCAGAATTCAGCAGAGTCTCTCAAGAGATAAACATTTTCTCTGGAAAGGAAACGAGAGGAACTACAAAGAATTCTTAAATCTGCATCCATCACTCCGTGACGTTTGTCCCCTATGGAAATCCCATTACCATCTTCTTTCAGGTTCAACAATCCCAAGCCTCAGTCTTTCCACATAACTGCTGTATCCCAACTGTACAAGTAATAAGCAACACTATCCTGTATTAGACACGCTAAAGCCAGGCTTATTTATTCTTAAAATAAAAACAGCAGTAAAGTTGAAGGTTTTGCTCTATTAAAAGACTCAGAAAATAAACATTTCCAGCAAATATCATATTGTAAAGGGCTCTCCTTTAAGGCCACTCTATCTGGGTTTGCGCCTGGAAGAGCGTCTGCACCCAGCAGAGGTGAGACCGCCTGTCTCACCTTTGGCGAGGGAGGAAGGCTCTGCTGCTGCCTCCTGGCCTGCATCTGCTGCCTCCTTCTGTCCTAAGCCTCCTCCACTCCCTGGATCCTGGTGGTCCTCTGTGCCTGCCCTCTGCCTGGCTGTGTTGGCTTCTTCCTCACGTCCCAGGGGCTCCCCTACGGTGTGGCTCTCCTCAGAGAACAGGCAGTCGGCACTAGTGGCAGTGGACTTGTCCTGTAGACTTTCTTCTTCTACAACCATGATACCACACACATCATCAGTCACACTGGCCAAGCTCTTGCCCTCTGGCCTAGAGGTGGCCAGCTCACCCTTACCCTCCAGAGACCTTGAAGTTTGTTCTTGCAGGGCTGACAGCTCTGTGCCCTCCTTATCTATCCCATGATCATCATTCATCTTCTTGCTGGTATGTGCTGTTGTAGCAAGAGGCTGTTTTGGATCATCCAGCAATTGGGAGCTGGAGCCCTGGGAATGCAAAGGAGCCTCGGGGTAGGCAGTTGTGGCACGATGCCTTGCTGCCTTGTATCTCTGCAAATACAAACAAACCAACGTGAGAGAGAAGCCCAGCTCAGCTCCTGTCACTGCAGCAAAGCAGCAGCAGCTGGTCCAGGAACACCTGTACAAAAACAGTGGTGAGTGGCAGGGGCACAAAGTGATCTCAGCAGCTCCTGGCCTGGCTGCTGAGGCTCTCAACAGAGAAGGGTCAGCTCCTGTGAGGAAAAGTTTATTAAAAACTGAAGTCCCTCTCGCATTACTTAATGCTGAGCGAGTGCATGGCAGACCTGTGGTTCCCGAGACAGAAATCACGATCTGGCAACTGTTAATGTCAGACTCAGGACTCTGTAGATGTAACAGTGCAAGTGACAGCTCCTGCTTCAGCTACTGCCAGGACACACACCCTGGGCATGTGAAGCTCTGCACAGCCCTCAGCTACTGCTGTGATTTAATGTTTATCAGCCAAAGCAAGGCTTAAGCTGAAAGCTTTGTATTTCTTCACTCTGTTGATACAATCTGCACAGTCAGTGGAACTGTTGACAGGAAGGCTACGATATCATATCCATTATATCTCGTTACAAGTCACTGGGGTTTTGCACAGAGTAAAGGTAAGCATATCATCAATAAAAGGACTCATTTGCACTCACTATCATGATGAACCAGTAGAGGTCTGTAAAGAGATTAAAATGGCTACTACGCATGTTCTAGACGGGATTTCAGGAAAACAACTCACTGTAGCTAGCTAACACATAGCAGGAACCCAGTCTTCAATGCCCAGAGAGATGTGACCTAAAGGAACAAACTGAAGTTCACTCTTTCCCACAGCAGTTTCCTTCATAATCAACTCCCTTTCAGCTGCCTGCTAAAGGGTTCTTTGAACTGGCACTAGCATTACACCTGACAATTGAAGGAAACAATTTCGAGCACAATGCCTTTCACCAGTCTGCAGTGTGGAATTACAGCACATCTGACAGGCAGCTTTACATTGTAATTCAGTTTATCACTGCAGGCTTGTTCCTCCTCTGTCCTCACAGAGGGATATGAACAATATCATATCACACTGGAATTGGATCAGTTGAGCCATACTGTACCCAAACCTAAGCAGGTCCAGGCATGCAAACTGGTGTCCAGAGTGATGCTGTAAATTGTCTCAACAGCACACAATTCTCTGCTTTGAAAACCTCTGCTGAGCTACTCTGCTGAGAATACCCCAGCAACTGGCAGTGATTTAACTCAGACTGTGACAACCCCAAGGCACCCAGGCAGCCAAGAATAATAGTTATCTGCCTGCAGACATGTAAGTCTGGACTCTTCTCACGAACTCCCCAGGTCATTCTGGCATGCATTTGAAGAGCATCTGATTTCAGCTCTAAGTGGGCCAAAAGAGTGACATAAGTGGTTGCTGCTGCAGTTTCACTCTATGCTGATCTAAAACAAGCCAGGAAAACAGCAAGTCCAATTCCTTCATTCCTGAGATGACTAGCTGCAGGAGTGGGAGAGGATGAGCAACCATGAAGGAACAGCTGTGGTCTCCTCCCATTCCAAATCCACTGCTCTGAGTGCTGGCAGAATTCTAAAGCACTCCACCCCTTCCTGAAGGCAGTGATGGCTGACTGGGAATAGCTTCTTCTGGCTGAAGACTAGAAGAAAACCATGAAGTTTTGGGGGTTAGGGGTGTATGTATGTGTGTTTGGTTTTTTTTTTTTTGAACACTATTTAAAAGGTGGTAGGGAAGCACAGCAGTTTTTGTGGGTGCAGGCAGAGGACCAAGTCGATGTGGGAGCCTCCCTCCTTGCCAAGGACAGGGAATTGGGCTCTCCCATACAGGAGGGCCCAGGCAGTGGTCATGGGATAGGGCAGAAACAGTGCAAGTCCTGTGTACCCTCTAAAAGTACTAATCCAGGCCCCTTACCCCCTGGCAAGTCAACAAGGACAGAACAACGGAGGCAGATTCCAGGCCAGCCCAGTAGGAAAAGCTTTAGATACAAAAGCAGCGAGGGGCGATATGGCTTCTTTAGGTGGAGCCAGAAAAGCAAAGGAACAGCATCAGTTTGCAGAGCTTTGTGCTAAGGAGTTTCTAGGAAAGGGCAGCAGACAGAGAGAGACAGACAGATAGACAGACAGACTTCCTCTTGCAGGCTGACCCTGGGGACAAATGGACTCTCACCAGCTTGTAGATTCTATCACATAAAGAGTCTGTAATGTTAAATTTTCAGATTTCTAAGGTATCTGATTTTATCAGGCCTCTTCCTGGATGAATCACACCCACGCTTTTGGCTAAAGTAGCTGTTCTTGCAGTATCACACCTGGAGATGCGTATGCACCAGCTTTCTTTACAAGGAACAGCCTCTCTCTCCTGCTCAATCCCACCTTGACCAACCTGTAATCTAACAGAGAAGAGGCCTAGGCTAAATGACAGACTCCACAGGTTCAGCAAACAGAGCGGACACTCTGAGGAAGATTCCCAGCCAGAAACAGGCAAAAAGATGACAGCAGCAGTAGCTGGGAAGCAGGACTAAACTGGTTTTAGATCTACAAGGGCCAAGGGAGACAAAGACAGAGCACACTAGGAGAAAGCTACAGCATAATGGACACCAAGGATGATGGAAATGAGCTGGAGACAAGACAGCTAACGTGGTGGATTCACTGGAGAGACACGCACGGGGGAAACAAATGCCAGGCCATGCAATCGCCAAAGGGTCTAACCTGAAAGTTCTCAAAATGCATCAGGGACTTGCAGTGTGCGAGCCGGGCAGCGGAGTCGCTATGGTAGAATTTGTGACACAGCCTGCAGAGGTAACCTGCGACGGGGACCAGAAAATCCAGGCCTGCGAAACGGGAGGGGAAGGGAAATCACAGATCACATTGAATGGAACTCAAATAATGAAAGCATGTTAAAAGAGAAGGGGGATGGGAGTAAAGGAGGAGAGGTGGAAAGCTTTGCTTCTGTTAATCAGGGATTTGCAAGATGACTTGCTGAATATCTCGTCTTACCATGGAATGGCTGTGGTTGATATTCAGAGAGAAATCTGGCTGCCAGAGCAAAGAAACTACACAGAGCGTTAAGGGGGGAAAAAGGGAGAAAAGAATACAATGGAAAACTACAGAGAACATGTGATCTAATGTAATGGGATCAAACCAAGCAGAAGACAGCAGGCGCGCAAGAGGAACACGCAGAGAACATTCACAGCATGAATCATTATTCCATCTGCCACACGATAGTGGAAGGTTACAGCGATATGGAAGATCCGTGTAAACAGAGCTCTCCTTGGGCACAAAACAGCCTCTGCAGAGCTGCCCTCCTCAAACACCAGTGGCCCTTAGGGGTTTGAAGTCAGTCGCTCACAGGGTGGGGACCAGACAGGGCCATCTGGAGGAGCCACTGCCCACCAGGCCAGCAGCACGGCTGAGGAACTGCTCAGAACAGCGTGGGGGTTCTGAAGCGGAGGAAACATGCACAGTTTGGGTCTAGCAGAGAGTTTGATACTGTCAGTGATGCTCAGTATCTCTCTGCAAGCTGCATTTCTGCTGGAAAGCATTCCAATCAATATGCTTTCCGACTCCATCTTTCCAGAGCATCCCTCATTTGCTACCTACTTTCTTCAGTACTCCTGCCCTGCTTGTTCCATGTCCTACCTTAGAAATGTATCTGGCTCTCATCCTTCTTCAAAGCAAAAGGCAGCTGACAAACATCAATCACATCCTCATGTTTTATCACACAGTAATAAAGAAACATCCTGCTTTCAGGAGAGGTTCTTCTCCAGGCAGCAGTGACCTGCACCAGTCCAATGCAGATGCTGGAGCACCATGGCCCAAGTTATTATAACAGTAGGTAGAGACCATCCTCTCCTACAGATACAGCATGTGGCCAGAGAAGGCTCTGTGGCCCTTTGTGCTTAACTCTGCTTGCTTACCATAGGCTGTGTCTGGACAATACTTCTCACTTCCTTCGTAATCCTCCAAAGACACTTCCTTCAGCCCAGTCTGGAAACCGAAAGAACATTAGTGCCTACTGTATCTATGGCAATTGTCAGGCTCTTGCATTTTTCTGGTAAGCAAAAATGGGAGCAAAACAGAAGATTCACATACCAGTGACAGAGTTACACAGCCTTTGATCAGGGGCAGATGCAAACCCCAATGTCAGCAGACCACTTCATTACAAGGGCTAAAATCACTCCTTGCACTTCAAGCTTGAAGGAGCTTAGCCATGTACCTCCTTCTTGGTAACTGCTCTCTATTGGGAATGTCAAGATAAACCTCTACACATTTGCTATCGGACCCAGCCACTGCTGGGCTGTTCAAAGAGACTATGTCAATACTGTTTTGTGCTCCTCAACAAGGTTAATATCTGAAGACAGCAGAAG